GTGGGCACTGTGTGCTTCGTATTGTCAGAGGACAAATTGCATCTTGTCCTGGGAAGGGAGGAGAGTCTGAACTTTTTTCCTCTGTCTCTCCATTTGAAAACACAGTCTTACTGCTGAGCAAGATCTAACACCTGGCGTCACAGAAGGTTCTTTGAGCTGGCCTAGAATTTAAATTCTCCCACTCATTTTTGTTCTCATGGACTCCCAGTGCTTATACTTTCCGTTTTCTGATACCAGGTTAATGAGAAAAATATTCATTAGCTACCCCAGCTCAGGCATGGCGAACGCCAGCCTCCACCACCTGTTGGAAGCACAGCTGCAGCGGGCCTCTCGTACAAGTGGTGCTCTGAAGCTGTCGACCACGGTACTTCTCACAAATGATGTTGTTTGGGAAAAAATAAGCCTCTTTCTGTATGTTTTTGCTTCCGGGCACCGTCAGTTCCTGTATCCCTGTGTACCAGGAGTACTGATGCAAGGCACCTTCTCTATAAGGACCCATGCTCACAGTATAAGTGTGTGGGACACGGGTTTTCCAAGAACCCAGCTTCTTGGAAAGGAAATCTTTAGGATCTCTGCCTGCAATCCGAAAGTTAGCGTTCTTAATCATTTTTTTTCTTTTGCATACAGTCACCCCAGACTTGCAAGCAGTTATGCATACGCTTCGTTTTTCTCCTCCAAGCAGTCCTATTGAGTTCAGCGGCACTCAAGTGAAATTTAAGCTTGCGCATAAGTATTTTGCAGGGATCTGGCACACTTGTAGCTGGTTTTCATCAGTCGTTAACTAATGGACACATACCTGTCAAGCTCTCGGGGGTAAAAAATGAGGGAGATATGTAAGTGCCTGAGGCGTTTGAAGTCTGGGGAAATGTTCAGATTTATTTATTTGAATGTTATTTTTCCTGGGAATGGCTCTTTCATCATGAATTCCAAATGTTGAAAAAAAAATAAGCAAACTTTCTCCATAGCCACCTGCATGCCTCCTGTTTTGTGTTTTTTCCCTTCTGTGATGCCATTTTCTTTCTATTTCTCGGTATAGCTTTTCCCTGGGGCTGCTTCTTCAAAGGATGATTTTTTTTTCCCCCTAGCAGTTTGTTCCTTGTAGAAGTCAGCTCATTCCACCTAAAAAGCACTCTGCACAGGGAAATGTTTCCTCTCTATTCACCCACACACAACGACTCCTCACCTTCACTGTTCTGTCTTTGCTTCTCACCTCTGGCTCAGGACTGGCCCCGTTGCCTTTCTTGCATCACTGTGACTCTACAGTCCCATGCCAGTCACAGCGGCATATCCTCCTTGGAGAGGGGCTAAAAGCTGGGAGGAAAAAACATCTAAATGTTTTCCTCTGGACTAACCACCACACAAGCAGAGGAGGAGATGAAGAAAAGGCAGCATTTGACCTCAGTGTTGGTCTTCCTGTATTGCCAGAGGATCAAAATTAGCAAGGCCCAGTTAATGAATATGAATGAGTAGCATTATAAGGTTATTCCGGCAGGCCATAGATGAGGGTTTGCTTTACGTCCGGGTGTCTAGGAAGAACTCGGGAGCAAGTCTTACTTGTCAACCAAGGGCAAGGAATGAAAGAATTGAAAGAAGTTTGGTAAGTGCCTACACTTAAGCATAGCTGCGCCCAGGTGTTGGATGCCTTGTTCTGGAGGCTTTACCCACTTAAGCACCTCAGATCCTGGTACAGTCAATGGAGAGACTTTGGAAATGCCTAAAAGCAGTCAAGTTTAGGTACGTCCAAAGGATGATTCGCAACACCTGGAGGGCCCTACAGGTAGGCAATGGGAAGTGCTGAAGCTCAGGAGCACGCTGAACTCCCACCCGCTCAGCACCCCTTAGTTAGGCATCTCTTTCCACTTCCAGTTCTCAGTGCTTTGTCTCTTCTGAAGGGGCCATGTCATAGGTTTTGAAGCTTGGTATATGGTAGTAGGCAGTGGTCATTTGCCACTGGTGACAGTCCAGTGTAAAATGCATGAGCGGTGCTGGGACCAAGAGCCAAAAGAGGGCGAAAAATCTCCCTCACCTAGCCCGTTCTGGAGCCCAGTGGCTAGGGCACTTGTTGGGAAAGGGGGAGATGTGGGGTAAACTCCACTTGGGTGAGGAGGGGCTAGTCACTTCATGGGCAAAGGAAAGGGCAAGAGCTCTAACTACTAAGCTGTTGGGCAAAAAGGTCATGTGTGAATTCGGTGCTGTCAAAGCAAGTTAGACATAAGGTGGGATTTTTTTCCTACTGGCCTCAAAGAATTTAGGTGGAGTTCAGGGGCTTATCGCAGACATTTTGACTTGCAACATAGCTGAGCTGGGAATTGGATAAGATGCATCTTAGTGCTCCACCTGAATAGTTTTTGGGCATGCTTCAGTAGCCCTTGTATAGAAATCCAGGGAAACTCCTGCAGTTCAAAATAGGAGGAGTTTGAGTTTTGTGCCTCTTGTATAGAGCCATTTTGAATCACTTGTTGGAGCCCGGGGGAATTTAGGTCTCCAAGTCCCGTTCAAGCACCTAGAAACCACTTGGCATCCTGCCGTTAATGAGTGAGAGTGTGAATTGTGGAGGGCACCTGTCACAGCTGGGAGAAGTGAGTGCCCTAGGACACAATTGAGCTCTGAGGCAGCTTCTAATTTAAAAACCTCTAATGCACAATACAACACAATGTTTCCCTCTTCTGTGCATCCTGCTGATACTAATCTAACCCAGTCCATTGGGTATTTTGAATACCTTAGACCAAGTTCCTTTATATATTTATGTTTCTGTATTTATATGAACTCAGATGCATTTCCTGTTGATGATGAATGCTTAACTAATGTGCTTTGGTCCTTGGGCTAATCTTGCAGGCAGCTGCATACAGCTGCTGCACAAGGCAGAGGAGTTGGGCAAAATGGGGTTATCCATTCCTCCTAAAGCTTTCTTTGCTCCCTCTTTGCTGGAACTCCTAACTATTACAGTGCGGTTAAATCCAGAGAAAGTATAGAGGTTCTCAGTGTTTCATTCTTGTCTCTATCAAGCCTGTCTACTTTATCAGAAGGGAATATCTTTCATTGGTCTATGCAGATTAATGAGGCTTCACATTTATCGTTAACATTTCTTAGCTTTACAGCACTGTGGTTAGAGGCTGCAGCAAAATGTCACGCCACCATAATAGTGTTTCACCTTGAGAACTCACTCACTAGGTGGTTCCCCAAAACTTGCAGACTTCGTCTTATCCGTACTTCAGGAGCCAAGAAGTTTGCAAAGACTCTGCCAACTGGGAGCCTTTGAATTTATTTCTGGTAGCATTCCTTATTGATTTGAACATAATACGCATCTTCCAAGCACTGAACAGGATAAGTCCTACACATATTCTGGTCTTAACCCCTTAGAGTCTGCAATATTCCCTGTAATATTCAGAACAAGAGCAGTTCGTTCCTTCCCTACTTCCCTGCAGTCCACTGAGAGCACGCAGGTCCACCAGGAGGAGGGTTCATAACAAAAGGATGAATTCTTAGGAGGTGATCTTAGGGCTCCTGTTACCTCTTCTTTTGTCTAAAACTGTGGGTCATATTTAAATTGTCCTGTATCAGTTGCTCACTAGACTCCAGGTAATTGCATTTTGTTCAGTCCAGTAAACTCTATACTGCGCCCCATCCCAGCCCCCACTGTTTGGATTATATCATCTTTTGCAAACACCTGCAAAATGCTTGCTTAAGTGAGCCACACAGGAAAGATTGAATCTGAATATATTTAATTTGTTTTCAGGCTGTAAGTGTGAAAACTTTTTTTTGCTGCTTCATGACCTTACTAAAAAGCCTGAAGGGTCCATGTAGTGCTAGTTTGCTGTTGCTCCCTTAAGAAAGTTATTAAGAAGTAGACTTTCAACATAAATGAGTTCCTTGAGTGTGGCACAAGATGAGCTTCCTGAATTAGTGAAATACAGATGATAGCCCCAAATTACTTTGGTGACAATACATGTTACGCTGGTTAGATCCAGATAAGATGCAGAGAGGTCCTTAATAGTCTGCTGTTCTTCCCTTGCTATTTGAGCTTTCCCCGATCACAGAACTAGTGGGTTAGGGGAGGGAAATCTCAGTTGTGGCTATACTAGGCCACCGTTCCTGTGGT